TTGCATGTTCATCTTGTTCTTGAAAAATGGTTTGAAATTGAGTTTGAATTAAACACCCTTGGGCCTTGATTTCTCAAAATTGAGCTTTGAACCATGTCATTCTATATGTTTACAAGTGTTTTTTGGAAATTCAGCCCAAGAGGATCGGTTTTGATGCATTTAAACTTGGTTTTTGGCTTGGAGGTGCAATCTAGGATTTCCAGATTTTGCACTCCCGCTCGAGCGGGATAATTGGCGCTCGAGCGCGGAATCCGAGCATCCAGTATTTCTCTGCACTGTTTTACAGTCCGCTCGAGCGGAGGATCGGGAGCTCGAGCGGAGGATTGCATATCAGCTTGAGCGGGCATCGAGCGGAGATTTCACCCATCCAGTACTTTTACAGTACGCTCGAGCGGGAAAGTTGACGCTCGAGCGTTTACCTTGTTGCGTGTCAGCTCGAGCGGGGAAACCTGCGCTCGAGCGGGACTCTGTCTTTCTGAAACTCCTGAAACTGCTTTTCGAATACATCTTTGCATCCTCATCCCATCCTAGGCATTCTTAGGCCTAGTTTAAGGCATCTCATTGAGGGCTTAGATGTAGAACACACCGAGGCAAATTAAGGGTTAGGTTATGATATTTCCCAACTGTGTAGCTTAGTGTGTGTTCAACCTGTGAACTGTGTAGGGTTGGCGACTGGGGAGACACGCTCTAGCATACTGTAGCCCAGAACTCTGTGAGTAACGACTGTGTAAAGATATGTTCACAAATGATTATCTTCTGAACAATTGAATTGTACTGTTTTCTGAACTGATTACTGTTAACTGAATGAATGGATGTCCTATATTCTGAACTGTATTGTGGCATTCTTAGCACCTACTGTTTACTGTTACTGTTACAGAGATCTCTGTCGGTTCCCTTGTTGGAACCACTACTGTTACTGACTGATGGCCATCATTACTGCTCGGTCTTTTCAGACCTACTGTTTGCTGTACTGTTATGCTAATGGATGTACCACATATGACTGTACAACTGAAATACTGTTTAAATGAACTGTTTTCATACTGTAAGGACATTCATTCTTAACCCCTTTACGCATTATGTTATTCACTGGGCTTTAGCTCACTGCTCATATATATATGTAGGTGTACAGGCACCAGACCGCGGCTAGAGGCGTCAGGGTTACTCCAGTTTTGTCAAGCCAGCCTATGTGCCTCACTGCGAGGTTCCAAGCCTATCGTGTTAAGGCTTAGGGGTGTTTTACAATTCCCCCTTCTGTACCGTCTCACTGTTCTGTATAGACTGAATGTTTACTGTACTGTTATGCATGGATTGAGTCCCTAGTCTGAATGATTGTAAATATTGTGCATACCGTTCTGTACTGTTTATGTATAAATGTATGAAAAATCTTTTTGGCATACAGACTGTCATAGCTCAATGGACATTATTTATTTACTGTATTGGTTTCCGTCGGGCCCTGAACTCTGTTTTACTGTACTACTGTTAAGCAGGCCTTCGGTAATCTCGGATTACTGGCCGGTTACGGTGCTAAACCCATAGGGCCGGGTTTGGGTCGTGACATTAATTCAAACAATAATTCATTCAATATGAGTGACGAAGTTGAAGAACAAGATAACAATGTTGAATTTAATGAGAGCGGTGAAGGTGAAGAACCGAAGAAGGGGATGTATTTTATGTCAAAGCAAGAAGTGTACGCATTTTATGCAAAATATGCGAAACAGCTTGGATTTGTTATAGCTTATAGAACACAAAATGTAATAAGGGATGGAGAAGTAAAGTACTTTGGAATTGAATGTACTCGGACGCGGAATAGAACAAAAAGATCATAAGTAAATCCCCTCAAATCATTTTTGTCATCAAAAATTGATTGTAAAGCAAGGGTAAAAGCCAGTCTACAAAAAGATGGAAGATATAAGTTAACCACAGTTATGCTTGAGCACACTCATGATTTGATTCCGACTGACTCACGGCATTTTCCAATGAATAAGAGGATTCTTACTCCGATGAAGAGAAGACTAGAAGTTAACGATGCAACAGGGATTAGGGTGGCTAGGAATTTTCATTCCGTAGTTGTTGAAGCAGGGGGATATGAGGCATTAACGTTTGATGAACAATATGCAAGGAATTACATTCAGAATGCTAGAAGATTGAGACTTGGAGTAGGAGACGCCAAATTAGTTACATTTTATTTTCATAAAATGCAACAACAAAATTCGAACTTCTATTCGTGTCACGACCCAAACCCGGCCCTATGGGTTTAGCACCATAACCGGCCAGTAATCCGAGATTACCGAAGGCCTGCTTAACAGTAATACAGTAAAACAGAGTTCAGGGCCCGGCGGAAACCAATACAGTAAATAAATAATGTCCATTGAGCTATGACAGTCTGTATGCCAAAAAGATTTTTTCCATGCATTCTACCATAAACAGTGCAGAACAGTATGTACAATATTCACATCCATTCAAACTAGGGACTCATCCCTACATAACAGTACAGAAAACATTCCGTCTGTACAAAACAGTACGGTCTATACAAAATTTACAGTCACACAGTACAGGGACCTAATCCCTTTATAACAGTACAGTAGTCCAAACAGTATGGAGACAGGACGGGGAAAACAAACAAAACACCCAAAGCCATAGCATGGCAACTCGGAACCTCACAGTGAGGCACAAAGGCTGGCTTGACAAAATTGGAGTAACCCTGACGCTCCTAGCTCCGATCTGGTGCCTGTACACCTACATATATATATGAGCAGTGAGCTAAAGCCCAGTGAATAACATAAAGCGTAAAGAGGTTTAGAATGAATGTCCTTACAGTAGTGAAAACAGTTCAATTCAATCAGTATTTCAGTCGTTCAGTACAGTAAACAGTCATATGTGGTACATCCATTAGCCTAACAGTAACAGTAGGTCTTGAAAGACCGAACAGTAATGATGGCCATCAGTCAGTAAACAGTAGTGGTTCCACGAGGGAACCGACAGAGAATTCTGTCGCAGTAACAATAACAGTAAACGTAAGTACTAAGGATGCCACAGTACAGTTCAGAAATAAAGGACATACATTCATTCAGTAAATAATACCAGTTCAGTAAACAGTTCAGTTCAGTATTCGAAAGATAATCAGTTGAACATATCTTTACACAATTGTTACTCACAGAGTTCGGGCTACAGTAAGCTAGAGTGTGTCTCCCCAGTTGCCAACCCTACACAGTTAACAGATTGAACACACTAAGCTACACAGTTGGGAAATCTCATAACTTAATCCCTAATTTGCCTTAGTGTGTTCTACAATGATATCCTCATCTAAATGTCTTAAACTAGGCCTAAGAATGCCTAGGATGGGATGAGGATGCAAAAATACACTTAGAAAATATTTCGTAAAGTTTGCTGAAAATAGGAGCCTCGCTCGAGCGAGACTTTCTACGCTCGAGCGTAAGTCCAAAATCAAAAGCTTCGCTCGAGCGAGTAAACCTTCGCTCGAGCGGTCTGCAAAACAGTAAAAGTACTGGATGATGAAATTTTACGCCGCGATGGTCGCTCGATGGTCGCTCGAGCGGAGCCCTGGACAAAGGTGCTCGCTCGAGCGGGGAATCCTTCGCTCGAGCGAGGAAGCCAAATCTGGAATTTCCAGATTTGCCTCCCAAGCTCAAACCAAGCATTCAACCACTCCAAACTCGACCTCTTGGGCCCAAATTCTGGAAAACATCATTAAATTCAATGTATAACAAGTTTCAAAGCTCAATGTGTGAATTCAAGCCCCAAAGGTGAGTCAATTAAAACCATATTCAAACCCATTTTCAAGAATATGAAGAACATGCAACATGCAAGGATTTAAACCAAATCAAAGCTTCAAAGCTTGTTCAAATGAGCTCATTCTTTCCAAAACAAGATGAAAACATGGTCTACTCCTACAACATGGACATGCATGTAACCATTTACCATGAATTCAACTCAAAAACTCATTAATTCAACCATGCATGCAAGAAATGATCTTCAATCCATCATTAATGAACCAAACCATGACTTAGTTCTACAATGAAGCATGAACCATGCAAGAACTAGTTCAATAGCATCAATAAGAAGATAAGATCCTTACCTAGAGCTTGAATTAGAAGACTAGGAGCTCAAATATGCAATCTATACTTCAATTCCCTCAATTCTCCAAGCAAAACCCAAGGTAGGATTCAATTTCTCTCACTCTCTCTCCTCTCTTCCTCTTGGTCGGCAATGAGAAGGAAAAAAATGGTGAGGAAATGTTGTTCTTTGGCTCAAGTATGTGTGTGAGATAGTGGCCCACTCAATGGCAAATGGTAATTAAGTCCAACTCTTCAATTGGCTTATTTTAATCTAATTTAATCACACCTAATCAGTTTTCCGATATTAATACCATAAAATCACATTAATTATGAGGGTCACGGAACATCAATCGGTTTCTAGTTCGGCCGCCGATAAGGCCTTCAATTAGCAGTTTAAACATATAAGCATGAACAGATAATCAGACAATCAAACAGATAGAATGCAATTAACTAACATATACTCAGTCAATTCAGTTTCAATTTCAGTCAGTCGGTTTAGTATTTCATTCAGTTCGATTATCAGTCAGTTATCAGTCATTATCAGTTTCGTTTAACAGTAATCGGTGATTAACGGTAATCAATCGGTCATAAATCAGTAAACAGTACGAGGGTTGTTACAATTCGGCAATTGACCTTGATGAAGATGGTCGCATGCGAAACTTGTTTTGGGCAGATGCAAGGAGTAGGGCGGCCTATAAAGCATTTGGAGATGTTATCTCCTTTGACACAACCTATTTGACAAACAAATATGATATGCCGTTTGCTCCGTTTGTAGGAGTTAATCACCATGGACAGTCAATTTTGTTTGGTTGTGCGTTGTTGAGTAATGAGAACACAGAGACATTTGTTTAGCTATTCAAAGAATGGTTAAGTTGCATGTCAGATGCTCCCCCAAAAGCGATAATAACTAACCAGTGAAGAGCTATGCAAAATGCCATAGAAATTGTCTTCTCACAGGCTCGGTATCGTTGGTGTTTATGGCATATTATGAAGAAAATTCTAGAGAAATTGCGAGGATATTCACAATATGTGTCCATAAAGGTTGCTTTGAGTAATGCAGTTTATGATTCATTCACAAAAGATGAATTTGAGGAATATTTGGAAGCAATGATTGAAAATTTCAATTTGAATGACAACGAGTGGTTAGGGGTATTATACTGTGAGCGATATAGGTGGATTCTTGCCTATGTTAAAGACATATTTTGGGCTGGCATATCAACTACACAACGAAGTGAGAGTATGAATGCATTCTTTGATGGATATGTGAACTCTAAGACAACCTTAAAGCAATTTGTTGAGCAGTATGACAATGCGTTGAGAAGTAAGGTAGAGAATGAGACAAAAGCAGATTTTAAGTCTCGTAACAAATTGTATGATTGCTTAACGGCGTATCGTTTTGAGAAGCAATTTCGTATAGCTTACACTAATTCAAAATTTAAAGAAGTTCAACTAGAAATGAAGCATCTAGTGTATTGTCGTGCAAATCTTATCAAAGAGAAGAGCGCAATTTGTACCTATCATGTGAGGGAGGCTATTATTGTGGGTGAAGGAATGAAGAAAGTGGAATTTGTTGTGTACTTTAATTCAACTGAATGTGAGCTCCAATGTATGTGTCGGTTGTTTGAGTTTAGAGGTATTATGTGTGTGCCTATTCACTTTGTGTGCTCATTGAGAGATCCATATATGAGGTGCCAAATAAATACATTGTTTCGAGATGAAGAAAAGACTTGGAAAGAGGCTACACATGTATTCCAACCACATATACTAACTTTGGCTCTTCTCTACATCCAAAGTTGTATGATAACTATCACAATACGTTGGATGAGATCCTAGAACTTGCTACCAATGATGATGGTAAACACAAAGTGATTCAACTTGGGTTGATGAAAATCAAGGATGAAGTGGGAATAGTTCAATCAAGTAGTGCGAGTAATGTGTCATGTACTAGTACTTTACCACCTTCAAGTAGTACTTTACTACCTTTCCATACTTCACCAAAAAGTCCGCCTCGTATCAATACTACAAAAGAAAGCATGGCTCGCAAGGTACTCAGTTCTTTGGTTGCTCGCCGAAGAGGCCGTCCATGTACGAAACGGAAGGTTAGCAAGGTTAATGCAATAGTGAATCGGTTGAAGGAAAAGAATAAGAAGGCTAATCCGGTACAGATACATTTTTCATTCCGCACTACATATGTATGTTTCAGAATTTGTTAAACTTAAAATATTCATCAATGTCTGGTACTATAGGGTCAGAAGGTGAACCTCGTAAGTTAAGATTTCCTTGTATGGGAGGCGTGCAACACATTATGTATGAACCGATATGTGTTAAATATGAAGGTTGTTTCGTGTTTTTTTTTTCAAATTTAATTTTTTTGCTTTAAATTACTAATTTACTTGTGTTACTATTTCATCATTAGGTGCCGCCAAATCAACCTTACTATTTCCCTCGTATGGATGCCACACAAGACAGTATGTATGTACCGGTACGTGTTAAATGTATTCTTGCGACAAATGAAATTTTATATTGGTGAATATGTTTGTGGGATTTTTTTTGTAATATTTACTTTATTTTTACAGGCACCGGTTAGCACAATTGGGGACGACATTAGAAGCACATCTCATACTCAAGCTGGAATGGTCAACAATATTAGCAGTCAAAGTTCGATAGTACCATCAAATTTTGTTGACTTGAACATCGACGGGGATCCGAATGTCTCATTTTTTTTTTAAAGTTTCGAAGTGCTAATTGTACGTGAATTTCATTTGTAAACTTCGGATTGTTTTGTTGACTTGAATGTCCTATTTTTTTTAAACTTCAGATTAAGTGAATTGAAGGTCCTTGAACTTGTTGACTTGAATGTCTCATTTTTTTTGTTGAATTGAAAATTCGTGGATGTCCTTGAACCTGAATTGAAGTGAATTGAAGGTCCTTGAACCTGTTCAGTGAATTCACTCAACGAAGTGAGAAGTTGACTTGAATTGAAGTGAATTAAAGGTCCTTGAATCTATTTAGTGAATGTCCTTGAACCTGTTCAGTGAATGTCCCATTATTTATTTATGTTTGTGGAATTGGTGGAATTTGTTGAATCTGGAATGGTCCTTCAATGCTTGAATCTGGAATGGTCCTTGAATGGTCCTTAAATCTGGAATGGTCCTTGAATGATTCTCATTTAAAAATAGAAACCTTTTGAGTGAAACCTGTTGAGTGAATTCATTTAATCCAACAGATTCGATCCAACAAAAACCTGTATTGATTACAAAATAAAACAAATTCATTCATAACATATTCAATCCAATCCAATAGATTCATTCAAAAATACAACAGATTCATTCAATCCAACAGATTCATTCCATACAGATTCATTCAATCCAACAGAAACTTGTATTGATTACAAAATAAAACAAATTCATTCATAACATATTCAATCCAATCCAATCCAACAAATTCATAACATACATATTCATTCAATCCAACCGATTGATTACAAAATAGAAACCTGTTTCAGTGAAGATGGTAGGCAGTATTGATTACAAAATACAAATTATAAAATAAAATACAAAACAAGTATTGATTACATTCATAACATTGTCCAAAACCTAACAACTGATTGATTTAGATGATACAGTAAAAAAATACACAAAATACAATGACATAAGTCATTACCTTGAAAATCCTCTCCATCCTTTAAAGCCTTCTATCATGCTCATGAATTGCATTGTCCATCTCACCAAGCCTTCTCCTTAGATCATTAATTTCTTCTATTCTTGTAGATGTTCGAGGTCCAGCATTGGAACGGATTGTGGAGGTAATGCCGTCGTGATCATCATTTGCGAACCTGAAGTAATTGCAGTGTTCGTCCGCACTCTACAATGCACAAGAATCAGTTAATCAAATCAGACAAATGAAATTTATAAAAAGTAAAAGATTAATTTATGTAGCAGATACTTACATATTTTCTCGGGCAAACAAAAAACACACGTCCTTGATTTTCATTCTCATTGGTTCGTACAATACACATGGAGGCTGTTCTTCCACAATCACATAGTCTTGACTTTAATCTTATGTTCCTATTATTAGTAGAAGATGAAGCCATTTTTTTATCTACATAAAAAATACAAACAGATTCAACTACCTCATACTGATGGATAAGCGTCATATTGATGCATAATGACGCATTCATAGTGATGTGATCCATAAACAGAGTTCAATCTTCATAACATATTTGTTTAAAGATTTCAATCTTGATAACAGAGTTCAATCTGTTTAAATTCTGAAAAGGGAACTCTTTAAGTGTTCTGGATGAATGTTGAACTCTTTTAATTCAATCTGTGTTCTTCGTAACAGAGTTCAATCTGTTCAAATGTGTTCTTGATAACAGAGTTCAATCTGTTCATGAAGAGGATTCTTATCAATGAACACCACATATTTAACATTCAACATTCATAACAGTTCAACATTCATAAGAGAAAACCCCAAACATATTCAACATTCAACTTGTATCTGTTCGTTTGTAATCTGTGTTAGGGTTCAACGAACAAATTCGTTTGTAGAGTTCAAACAATAGATTTTGCAGCTTTCAAACAAAACAGATTCAAAAAACAGAATCAAAATAACAAAATGATATTTCAAGCAATTATGAACACGGATGTATGAACTTCAAACCAAACCCATGGATGTGTACTTCAAACCAAACCAAACTCATCACAGATGTGTATTTCAAGCAAAACCAATCAAATGTATACAGCGGATAACAGATTCAAAGGCAAATCCTAAACCCTAACAAATTAAAGCCAAATCCCAAACCCTAACCCAAATTACAAGCAAAATCCAACCCTAAACACTCTCAATCGACTAATTTCTAAAAAAATTAAAGCCAACTGTAAACCCTAACTTTGTTCGTCCTCAGATTCGCTAATTAAAACGTAAACCCTAATTTCAAGTTTACCTCAGATTCACTGTCGTAGGCTTTTGTTCGTCCTCCGTCATTCTTCGTCCACCGTCTCGTCGTCCTTCATACTCCTTCAAGAGACAGGTGACAGAGGTGAGACTGAAGAGATACAGAGGAGAGAGAGGCGAGAGTGAATGAGAGGGATGAGGCGAGAGAGGTGAGAGGGATGAGGATGAGGCGAGAGTGAGAGTGAGAGGGATAAGGGATGAGGTGAGAGTGAAAGAGAGGTGACAGTGCTAGTTTTGATTGGAGAGCTCGAGAGGAGAGAGAAACTTACTTTCGAGCCATTCGAGCCCGTTTTATTCGAGCTACGGATCATTTTTGTATTTAACCAATAATTCCTTTTTTTCAAATAAAATGTTAGAGATGAGTCAAATAGCTCTAACATGTCGCCAAAATGTTTTACAAAATTGACTCAGCTTTAGAGATTGTAGGTTGCAACGCTTGATCTTTAACAATTTGACAAAATCCTTTAGCTTTCTAACAACTTGAGAGATAATAGGTTGCAACACTCAAAAAATTCCTATAGCCTTCTAACAATTTGACAAATTAAAATGACAAAATCAAAGTCTAAAACCTTGAAGTACCACACAACAATCAAAATAGAAAATTACTCATGCCTACGATGCTTCTAAATTGAACATTGCTAGCAAAACTAATTAACAGTGCCTACTTAGTTAATAGCACAGCTAAATATGCCATAAATAACTTCTTGTAATACATCCAAGCTCTCTAATAAAACTTTGTGAACAAAGTTGAAAACTGTCTGAAACTACCAAATGAACCTTGAAAGATAAATAACTCAAGCACTGAAATAGCACATTATTTCATACTCTTAACATTTGTAACGCATTCAAACACACTATGTTAATTGAAAGGGCATAAAGTAAAACAAAAAATAAACCCAACAAAAGTAACATAATAACCAAATTTTTTAGATTGATGTAATTGAGAGTTAATTAACATTGAAAAGAGACAATCAATCCAAAACCATCTTCTATGTATGACCAACAGACATTTTAGCTTAAATGACATTGTCATATAAAGGTATCTTGCTTTAAAACTATGTTTACCAACACTCCCTCCATGGACTTGACGCATCCTCCATCTTAGCTATGTCCATTGTCATGTGAGAAAACAAACAATAAGCTTCACTAATCTAACTGCAAGCCAACAAATTAGATTAAAATAAATTTTCTAGCAATTAATAAATCACCAAACAATAAATTTATAATCTAGTGTGTTTCTTAACAAAAACAATAAACCAATCCAAACAAAACTAAGGATAAAGTAATGCTAAATTTCTTTCATGAATGGTCAAGGACAAATAAATAAAAAATCTATCCCTCCCAACTTGCATTATTAGAAGAAAAACAAAAGTTCTAATTTAATTTTTGAATAGGAATATCTCCAAGAAAACATCACAACCATAGACAATTAATGAAATTATAATTCTCTAAAAAAAAGAATCTTCGGTGCCTTCTCTTTTTATCCAGCTTTGCAAAATGCATGAAACTCAATAAGTCATTTTGTTGGCAACAATTCAGAGCTGAAACAAGTCTAAACATGTCTTATATGAAACTCACATTTTACTCGTTTCATTGCATTATGGATTCGTTTGCTCTCCAAGCATAATTTTTATTCTATATGAACAGCCTCCCACTCCATTTTCAATCTTGAAATAATTCTCGAAGATTCTATTTTTTCAAGAAAATCAAAATAATGATACATGCTAATCTATGCAGCAAACATTTGTTGATGTTTCGAAATTTAGATTATACATTTTTTTACTACCCTTGAGACAAATCCATTAGAAACATAAAATTTAGATCATGACAGCCAAACTAAATTCAAAGTTACATATAAATAACCTACACAATGTGTAGGAACCGTAAGTTTAAATAATGTAAATTTCAAATCAAATTGTATTCTCCTAGAAGATTAATTAATGTTTTTTGACACTGATACACAACAACATAGACAATACAGTGATAACCCATGCCTAAAGACACTCCTCAACAAAACCTAAGCATTCGGTAATGTATACAACTCAACATTAAATGAGGGAATTTTTTTTATAAAATTCGATAGTGTATATGTAAAAACTTAAAAAATATATTTTCAGAACCTGTAAGAGTAATTCAGCCATAAATATTCCATTAGCATAATTCTTTCAACACCAAAAAAATTTAAATCAATCCATTAAAGTTTCTTCACCTGGGTTTCTTTCCTCTAACTCTCTCACATTCACATTCCACTCTTTCTATGTAGGGTAACCAAGAATAACACAATTGGTGAATGAAATATTGAATTGTCTTTTTTTGGCATCGTATAAGTTGTTTATAGTGCAAAATTTGCTTCAATTTTGTTGCCTCAAATGCAAGAGAAGTAACCAAACAGCTAGTTTGAGCATTCTCATGGTAGTATTTATAAATCAATTGGTAATTTAATATTCCTTTCATAATCAATTAAGAAAAGCTCCACAATTAGAATACAAAAGAAATTCTGTATAGAATATCAAAAAAATCTTGCATATATTATCAAATGAAATCCTATATGAAACATCAAGACAAAGAACAATGAAGACAATTGGTTTAGAGATGATAGTTTACTATATTCCATAAAAATATTATTTAAAAGATGTGATCAATTTTAAAAAAATGGGGGGAAAAAAAATCATAAACTCAAAACCAAGATCATTTGAGAGTATCCAAACTATTTAGAAGGAATGGAAGTAAAAGCTGCCAATTTTCTTACATTCTTTGAAGATTACATCCAATAGTAAGCTTCCAATTTTCATGGTGTTCCCCCTTTATCCAATCCAATAGTATCTTTCCATTAACCTGTGATTCCAATCAACTAATAAACTGTTGGAACAA